ATCATTAGACAGACAGGAGAAGAAAACAGCCAGGAAATGCAATCACAGTTAAGGACCTACCTAGGCTCTGGGCTACAAATCTTCCTCCCAATTTGCAATAGCACTGGGAGTGAGACCTCCTCATCCCAGAGTCTCCCAGCCCTGGGCTCTAACCCTGTCCAAACTTGTAGGGAGGTCAACATCCAAGGAGACTGCAACTAGGACAACCCAGACAAAGATCTATACCTAGCCTGTGACATGTCCTTCCCTCCCCTCCTCCCAGTTGTCCCCATGCCACTACCTGGCAGCTTCAATGTGGCCTCTGCTCTCCCCATATACAGCCATGCAAGAGGACTGGGTGCAGAGTTCTCTTTTCTTTCTCACTGAATCAAAGGGCAGGACCTTGGTTCTTTTCCCACCTCACTGAGGATAGTCCAGTGCCCTGTGGCACCTGCCTTTTTTATCTACTTGGAAAAATCTACCTTGGCCTACAGAGTATAAACTGAGCATCCAAGCCTGACTTACAAAATGGGTCCAAAGAGCATGAAAACCCAACTGCCCAGGAAGCAAAAACCAGCAAATTTACATGGACAAGGAGATGTTGGAGACACATCCCACACTGGATGAATTTGGTGATGCCACAAGCCATCCCAGACACACTTGTACTGAAGCCCTGGAGCCGAATCAAGTGTCTGTAAGAAAACTTGGTGGCTGCCCAGGCAGCACTGCCCGCTCCCCATGGCATAGGCTCCAGTATCCACAGCTGGGGTCCTGTCCTCCAGGGGCCTGCCTGTTCTCCTGAGATCACCCAGGAGCTCTGGACAGCAGAGAAAGCAAGGAAGACAGGCAAGGTAGGCCTCACTCACCCATACATAAGCCTTGGCGGCACCAGTCCAGCTCAAAAGGAGCTGCCCATCCTTACACTGAGAGGTATACAGTGATACATGTCTATCAAGAGATAAACATTAGCAAGAATGCTGTGGATGGTATAGCATGCCTATAATCTCAGCACTCTGGGAGTATAACGCAAGAGGATTTCAAGTTTGAGCCAACCTGCATAACTCAGCAAACTTAGTGAGACCCTGTCCTAAAATAAAAAAAAAAAGAAACTAAGAAAGGGCTGGGCATATAGGTCAGTGTGAATGCTCTGGGTTTAATCTCTAGTACCACAAAAACAAACCAAAAAAGCCATCAGCAAGAATGAACTGGGGGGGCAGGGATATAGCTCAGGAGCACAGTCCTGCCTGGCACAAGGTCATGAGTTCAATTCCCAGTACCCCCCCCCAAAAAAAAAAAGAATAAACAGGTGAGCACTGGGGCCACACCCTTGGTGTATACTTTTAAAGGTAAGAGTAGTCTCTATTCACTGCACTGCCCCAGAGCAAGCCTGGGCAGCCCACTCTACTACTTCCTGAATTCTCACTGCTACTCCATGCATGGTGTAGTCTGCATTTAACACAGGAAGAAACTAAGACTCACAGAGGTATATTCAGAGTCAAACCAGGCTTTCATTAAGTCCCAAGTCTAATTCTCCACTAGGGAAAATGCCCATCATGGCAACCCGATCTGGAATTTTGTGAATATTCTGCAGTGTTAGGAGAGCTAAGTCCTAGTAAGAGCCAGTGTTACATGGGTAGGGGTAACTGCTGGCATCTTGGTTGTGTGGACCTCCCAGCTGCCAAGTTTTAAAGCCACAGGGCCTTAAAATGAGACACCTTATAAAGAGATGACCACACACTCAGCAAGGACAAGCACTCATGGCAGAGGAATGAGGGAAACCATGGCACCAGGACTTAAGAGTCAGAGCACATCCTTACTTTGCAAAATGAAACATGGCCTCACAACCGACATAATTATGTCCAGTGCATGGGGACGCTAGGAATTCTAACCAGTTCATAATCCCCACTTCCCTTACCAAGTGGCTGATTCAAAGATGATACTCCCACCAACATGCCATCCCCCAGCCCTGTCTGTAAAATGCCTATCTTTCCAACTCTAGAATTCACCAGCACCAAGTACATTCAGAGTGGGCACAGAAAAGGACTACAGGGGTATGGTCACAGGAATTGTCATGACTGCCCCCAAAGACCTACCCAATGCCACCATATCTACACCCGAGAAGCAAGGACAGCAGCCCTACTGCCAAGGGCAGAAGTACATGGGCAACCAGCAGTTTTTTCCAGGCCTGCCTCAGGTGAAGCTGGACCCTCTTCAATCATACAGGCTTCCAATCACATAGTACTTGCTGTTTCCCTTCACCTCCTAAAGCATCCCTACACTAAAGCAGGGGCTGGGTTCTGCTACAAACAACAAACTTTGTTTTCAGTCATGCCTCTGAAATACAACAGAATGGAAAACAAAGAGCTGTAACCAAAACAAATCAAATACCAAGGCTTTACAAAGCACTTCCCAGGGGCAGCTCAGGAAGGAGCATTATACCTGGCTTGACCCTAAGGAAAATATGAGAAAAATGACACAGGACAGCAGATGCTGAAATGCACAACATAGACACAGTCCCATTGGAGGAAGTCCCAGGAGGAAGTGAAAATTCACTCAGGCTATCTAGAAAGAGAACTTCCAGGTAACAGTGGGCCCCAAGTTGGCCCCTAAGACAAGGGGGCATGGGTCTAGGGGGCACAGGGAATGACGGGTAGTGGGTGCCAAGCTGGGTTCTGAGGATGTGCTTGGGCAGGGGGCTGTCACATATCGCAGGTTTAAATCAGTCAAGTAGAGCCCCTAGATGTGCTTGTATCTGCTCCCACCCTCAGCCCCACAACCTGTCTGTCAACATCTTTAGAAAACACCCTAAAAATCCCTGCTGTAACTGGTTGACCTGCTTGTGGGGGTTGGAGCACAGCCACATGGTCTGCAGCGCTCTCCCCTGCCTCAAACTCAGCAGATTACTGAAACGTTTCTTAGAAGCCTTTTGCCCTTAATTCTCCCCATCGAACTCCCATTCCAGTGTCTGAAAGTCCTTGAGCTCAATAAACACTAGTCAAGTGCCAGGCAAGAAATTCTGCAGCAGGTCACTGGTAAACTTTAGGAGTATCTGCCAGGTATCCTTTTATTAATCTTAACTATGATGTCATGAGGTTTAAGAATCTCTACATGTGAATCAACATCCTGTTTATATTCCATCATGTAATTAATGGCCTCCCACTGTGAACACCCCTTCCCCTCCACCCTCCTCCTCAGATTCCTCACTCAGGACTTAATTATTGGGACGGAATCTCCTGGGACATTCTTTCATCAGAAGCTAGGGGGCTGAGAAGACACTTTTATACATTTTCTCACTTGAAGTGGAATACTCTAGTAATATGACTAATATGAATTAGCATTACTCTTTCTAGCAATGTATCTGTGACTGAAACTAACCCTTATTTACTACCAACTATTTTGTGAGACAAGGAACTGTAAATGCTGCATTACTTTCATATTCTGAATTTTGATTTTACAATTTGGAAATAAAATATGATTAAATAAATGGCAATTTAAGTAAAAAAATATATATACATATATATTCTGTAGACTGATTCCCTCCACACACAAGGACCTCTATTACAGGAAGGCATAATTGTTAAAGTAGTCTTAAGAGACAGTAAAACAAAGGGATGAAGTTGACTTAACTGTGCAGCGGGCTCTGCATCCATTGTTCCAATGTTGAGTATCAACAGCCCTTACTTTGAAAGACCCCAAGAGACAGGAACAATTTAAAATCTGATTTAATGTACAGGGACATCTGACTAAAAAGGGCAAATGAAGGATCACTAAGACCCACTGTTTAAAAAAGAAAAGTCAACAGTAAAACATACGCCCATGCTATAAAAGGAAAATCATAGCTGACAAAAATCTATTTCTATCCTACAGATGGCTGTCATTTTCTAGGAGGTCAGTACTCTAATAAGAGACTTGAGTCAAATGAGCAACGGCAACAGCTGTGGGTAAGACAAGGTGCAAAGATGGACCTGTACTGGCAACTCAAACCCTGATTTCTGCCCTGCTGAATGATTTTGTGGTACAGTCCTCATTTTCTGATCATAAGGTCAAGCCACACATCAAGAAGTTTGTCTGTGTCAGTCTTCTGGAAGTGAAAAGTATTTCTAATCTTTCTGGAGAGTTTCCTGAACAGCAAGTATCAGGCTGGCAAGGCACAAATTAAAGTGTAACTACATAGGCACAGCTGAAAGACCCGCCAAAGTTAGTATAAGGCTCGTGAACTGCCTGGTGAGATGGGTAAAACTCTTCCTCAGACAGACATTTTTCTCAGTTTCAATCCTGTAAGGTCCCAAGGTACTTTTCCTTAGTCACACACCTCTTGTAAAAGTAATAATAATTTGTTGCCACCTGCACAATAGTATGACCATTTAATTTGATAAAGTACAAGCAGCAAACTAACCTGGAAATTCCTACCCTTTTGCAAGGGCAGTGGGAAACGTAAGCTACATAGAAAGCGGATTGGAAAAAGTTCCTTACCTGCCGCCCCCACCCCTAAGACAGTCCCCAGTTTGAGCAACATTCTTTTTGAAAAAAATCTTACTATGGGGCTGCACCTTCTAAGAGCTGCGGAGCTGGTGCATGTTGTAGATGAGGACGAAGAGTCAACTCTCTAAATGCAAATCACTAGCAAAAGAAGGCCACTGTGTCAACCCCTGTGCCTACGTTAATTCAAATGTCTGGAATGTGGAAAGAAATGTACGGGTTCTACGTTTTCAGAGCCAACAAGTACGATCGAGCGTATAAGAAATGTTCACACACCCTAAGCGTAAGAACCCAAGAAGGAAAAGAAAGTACTAACGTCCCGGGCGTAGGGAACCTCCTCCTCCTCCACCGAACCGAGCGGGGAAGGCTTGGGAGACAGGCGCCCCTGGCGAGGCGACAAGCTCTCCCCGAGGCAGGTGGGCGATGGGGCGCCAACCTCTCCTCGGGCCCAGGGCGCAGGCCGTGGAGCGCAGGGTTTGCAGCCCGCAGCCGGCCGCTGCCAGGACGACCTGGGCCCCCCGGCTGGCCCGCACGGCCCTCACCTTGTCCGAATCGAGGTCGGGGTCGGCCTGGCACAAGCGGTACAGGAAGGACTTCGGGTCCCGGCACAGCGTCTGCCGGGTGGTGAGGAAGTAGGTGCCGCCGACGTTGAGCCGGACCCACTTGGACACACCACCGGGGCGCTGGGCGAGGGCGCCAAGCCCCGAGCTGCAGCGGCGACACAGGCCGCCCCCCAATCCCGCCCCGAGACCGCCTGGGGCTGGCGGCAGCAGCTCGTAATGGTTGTCCGCCATGATGCCGGCAAGCCCCGCCACAGCACTCCTCTACTGGAAGCGTCCGGTCTTTAATAGTGTCCTCCGCGCCGTCCCGCCCACAGGTCCGCCCTAGTAAAGTGCCCGCCCCGGCGTCACGCAGGGGGTCGGAAGTTCCGGTCCGGAAAGGCGGCCGGCTGTGCCCCCTTCCGGCCGGAGGGAGCCTCGGTTTCGCCCCCACCCAAGGAAGAGCCAGGCCCGCGAACACGTAACACACTACATGCTTTTATTACAAGATTACCGAGCATACGAGTGAAATTCATCATTCGGTAACTACATCTAAAGCACAGATATTTGAAAAAGAGAATAAACATATTCATTAAATTATGATTAAACCATGACCAAATAGAAAATTTATATAATAAAGCCAGAAAAAAAGTTGTAAAATATAGTTTACAATAATTATTCACATTCAAGGCTGTACATCAATACATACAACAGCGTGGCCCCGAACATGAATTCAATCCAAATAATTCATATATTAGAATTTAAATAACACAGACTGAACTAGAGGCCAACAATAGCCAGCAAATAACCTTATATAAGAATAAAAATACAAAAGTGTATATCCTAGTATCATTGCATTATCTGTTTTCATAAGTTTTTTTTATTTTTGCTTTGCCTGTACAGCTACAGACCAGGTAGAGAATATTACACTTGTTCTGACTGCCACCAACCTGAAGAACAGCAACACACTATTGATTCGTCCTATTTTATGTGGTTAAAGAACAGCTGCAGCAGTTCTAAATACTGTAATATTTAATTTGTCAACGTCCAAACTATGGTCAAAATAGGGGCTTTCACCTACACAATAACCTACCTGTAGTCATTCAGCCAGACAGATTAAAGTGGGCTACATGGGAGTAAAAGGTTTGCCTTTTTTTTTTTTTTGTATCCGGAATCAAACTCAGGACCTTGCACTTGCCTGGCAAGCACTTGTGCCACTGAGCTACATCCCCAGCCCTAGGTTTGCCTTTTGTAAGAAGTTCTCTGTACAGAGTTTGGTGTTTCTTCATATTGAAAAAATGACTTACAGGGAAAATTCAGGTATTCTCATGGCTCATTCATTTGCCCACCATGACCACTTTAGCAATGATAAAACTGTTCTTTGCTGGAAACAGCTTTCTCCCCAGACCAATTCTTCACAGGCAGACTGATTTACAACTATGCACTCTTAGGCCAGTAGCCAGCAGCCCTCAGAAGCTCTGGAAGTGGCTCCAGCCCTGATTCAAGGGCACTTGCCATATGTTCTGCCTAAGAACGAGCCAGGCTTACTTGAGTCACTATCAGTTCATGTTAAGTTTGCAATGAAACAAAATGGAAAATGATGTAAAGTGACATCTCAAACATAGTACCTTTACCATGCTCTCATGAGAGCTGCAGCCACTCAAGATTTAGGAATGATCACCCTGCGTCTGTGCACCAGCCAAGGGCCCAGAGAAAGGGCACCAGAAGAGGACAGGCAGCCCAATTCTACACAGTTCAGCCATAAGCTCTGGCAGACTCAAGTGGCACTGAGTATGGCATCCATAAAATCTCGCATATATATTTCCCCCTCAGAATCAATGGACCCCAAACAAGCTGGAGATACAGAATTAATCAAATTTGGGTGATCTGGACTTAAAAGACCACTAGCTAGCCTAAAGCATTGTGGTTAAGAAGGAGGGAGAAAGCCCTACATCCATGCCAGCTGTGTCACCCACACTGTGTAAAAAAAGGTCTGGTCACTCTGCTGTCCCAAACCACAAAGACCCTCTGATAGTGGAAGGGAATAAACATAAATACCCTTTTGTAAAACCCAATCATTTACATGGTTTCTTTTTCATTGAGAGCCTTTGCTCTGCTACCAATCCCAAATGGCCCAATGTACTTTCTAAATCTATAAACTTAATTACAAATCACCCACTAAGCATGTGGCAAGGTCAGTTCAACACTTATCTCTGCTGACTATGCAGAAGCATTCAGTACCATTGTGGACACAAAGTACAAGATTCTGAAAACATCACCAAGCACTTGGGAGCCCTAGCAGCAGGGATGGAAGAGAACTAACATGCATTCATGATAAGATTCTTGCAATGAATATAGGGAAACTGGCTCCTGCAAAAATCTGCCAAAAATGGATCTGCAGTAATGACACCACTGTGGCACTTAAAAAAAAAAAAAAAAAAAAAGGACCGGTCATATTCAAACATTCTTTGTAACACACAGCTTAGTAGAAACTGATTTGTTCAGCATCTGTAGGACACCAAGAAGTAGGTTCTATTACTCAAACTTGGAGCATCCATCAGACCAAGAGGGAAGAGTATCTGTGAAATGGACAATCTTTCACCCAAAAATGCCACTTTCAGGCATTTAAGGGGGAATAAGGATATTCATCCCAGCACTGTTTATATAGTGAAAAACCAGAAACCATCTAAATGTTTTACAACAGGAAATGGTCAGATAAATTGTGATAAAATTTACACGCATCAGAGTCTACAATCATTAAAAACATGCTTTTGAAGAACTGTTCATGACATGGGAAAATACTTAGGATGAACTAGCAAATTAAAAAGCTCAATGCAAAATGGTGTGTATGTTCCCAGTTTAGTTACAAAACCAAACAAATGCTGGGGTGGAGGGGTGTGATGGGATCTGGACCAAAATGCCCATAGTGTTCCCTGGGTAGTAAGCCTACAGCTGATTCCCCCCACCCCCCAGAAAACCAATGTTACATTTAAGAAGGTACAAAAATCCCTGGAAACCCCTTAACTGTCACTGTGAGGGTCTATGCCATGGGGCTGTCTGCACAATCCCTTTAGGCAAAGACCACAACTACCATAGGGTGACCCAGGAGAGCTGGAATAATGTGAAATTGTTGTCAGCTTTTGCCTGACCTGAGGCATCTTTCCCAAATCAAACTTTTTACAGGTTCAGGATGAGTAACCACTCTCTGGGATGAAGAGGCTCAGAACTCCATATGGGGTTGCCCACCGCCCTTGGTGGGGTCACAGAAAAGGGGTGGAAACAACCCATCTGAACTCAGCCTTGTGTCCTCAGGGAAACGCAGGGCACAGTGAGCTCTCTGAGCTGTTGATGACCACATCTCCTGCCCCTCTATGCCAGGAAAGACCACACGGAGTGTAGTCATGGCATTTATGTTTATCCTTGCCCTTTCTTAGTAAGACACATGACTCCCAGAGCTATTAAATAAGAGGACACTTCTTTCTCACCTTGGACATGTCCCCACTTTGGATAGATTTCCGTCTATGTATGTCTATGCACCTAGACTATCATCCATGTCTCTGTCCTAGAACCTAAGGCACCTGCATGCCAGGTGATGGCTCTAAGGATGGTTGGGAAAAACTGAACTTGATGTAAGTCTGGACAAGAAAACAATCCTGCATGAGCCTTAAACAAAAAGCAAGGAAGGGCTGGGAATATAGCTCAGAGGCACAGCGCCTGCCTGACAAGCGTGAGGTCCTGAGTTCGAGTCCCAGTACCAAAAAAAGCAAAGAGGGACTGTGAGTGAAAACAAAGTTGATCCAAGAAGGACTCAGCTAACAGCACAGGCAGGGACAGTTATCATCTCGGCCTTTGGCTCTGAGCCTTCATCTGTGGCTCTGGAGGTTAGGTTAGTGCTTGTTGGTGAAGCCCCAGAGGTAGTGGCACTCTCCAGAGGGAAGAGGCAACAGAAGACTCACCTCACTTGCTTGGGGTCAGCCTGGTGCTCTTATCAAGTGAAATCTCAGTCCCCTTGTTCCCTGGTAGCCAGGTGCCCTCGGGCACTGCTTTCCCTGCATCTGTGTGTGGAGGACAGTCAGGGAGCTGCCCCTGTACACATAGACATGGGGAATTTTGAGGAGGGCAAGACAGCAACAAGGGGAGTGAGCCTTTCCAAGAAAGAAATGGCCAGGTGAGGCTCACCTAACATGGGCAAATCTCTCCACAACCTAGGAAAGAAGGGGCCTGGCTGTAGGGCCATGAGCCAGACCTGGGTCCTGCTCCCTGGGTGTGTCAGGGACAAGTGGGGCCCTAACACATGCTAAACACTCTCACAAAAATGGCTGGCAAAGCCTAAGGAGCAGTCTCTGCTTCCACCAAGTGTCTGTGCCCCAGTACAACAGCAGGCCCACATCTGTATCTCTCGCCAGCTTAAAAAGAGCCATTTTTATCATTAAAACAGTTTGGGAAAGAAACTGGCCTGGAACACTGGGTGACAAACGGTCGCTGGAGACAGGAGGTGCACGGATCTTTTCTGTGTGAGCCTTTTGCTGGTGCCTTTGTGAAATTCTACAGAAATGACAGTTGTTCCTGCCTTGGGGACATAGGAGTCAGAGGCATATCTGTGCGTAGACTGCAAAGGGAGATATCTGCTCCTCTCCACGAGGGACTAAGGGCCATTCCAGGGACAACCTAGGCAGGAAGCGGCACAACTGGGTCCCTCTAGAGCACTCTTCCTGAGAATAATAAAGCGAAGCCAAGGACTGACACATCCTAGGTTGTATTACAGAGTGGAGCACTGCCAGTAAAGCATCAAAGGAAAGTGGCCCTAAAACTGGCAGAAGATGCCAGACTGGGCAGGCTCAGATTTAATGGGTTATTCTTGAGTCCCACGCAATAGTGAGCAACACTTTTTTCCAAGCAAAGTCCACCGTATGGGACCAGGTGACTAGTCAATGTGAGAAGGTATTTAGTTCAACACAGCAACAGAAACTGAGCTAACTGTGAGAAGGGTTCAGCCACAGCAAAAACAAGGGACATGTGAGGCTAGACAGGAGACTAAAGCACCCCAGGGCTGTGGACACCAAGATTCTCTCTCAGTACACACCTCACTGGGCAGGTAGCTACACATTTAAACCTTTTCAGAGACTCTCAGCAAGGACCAATGCCTTGCTCCTCCACATGGAGCTGTAAGTCCAGGCTGCTCTGGTTGGTTCCTCTGCAGTATCTCCTGACCTCATCCTTATACATGAGAGGCCTTTGTGTTCTTAGGAAAGACCCAGCTAGGTGTGAACTAGGCTCCTGTAACTGACAGTGTCCCTCCTGTCAGTTTGGCTTGGCATCTAGTCCCACTGATGGACACTGCTAGGAGGTGGGACCTGGGAGTTGAGCACTGTGAGGATGCTTTCCAACTGTGGCAGCCTGCTTCACATGCCACCTCTGCAGCCTACCCACTCCTCACCTCAGCAGCTTGCCTGCCAGACAGCAAGGACCATAGATATCCTGCCACTACAGCCAATCCAGGAGGCACATGGGGGGCATACAGTAGGGACAGAGGGAAGGAAGGCAGCACACACACAAAGCTAAGAAGTCTATGCCCAGAGTTGGTGGCTGACCCAGCAGAGGTGCACAGAGGCTCCTAGGGTGGGAGGGGGGGCAATGACAACAGGGGATGACACACCAGGTCCTTTGGCCAAAGCAGGGGCAGTAGATGGAGGCAGGTAGGGAGGGGTGGAGGCAGGCGCATGGTTCCAACAGATGTCAGGAGGAGTTGTTGACACCAAGTCTGGCCATTGGTCTGGTTGGGAGCTGGGCTGCTGTGCACTGGGCTGGGTCTCTCTGACCACAAGAGCACATGGGAGCCTCCGCAGAGCACAGAGAACAAGCAAAGTGACCCTGAATTCCTGTTTGTTATTGGTTTTGTTCTTTGTGTGATTGTGATTGGGTATTGTTTTTTCTTCTCTTCTTTTAAATAAAAAAGCTGCAAGGTTTCCGCCGTCTGTGTTCTCCTTGAGATGGCTGGCAGGTGGTCTGGAAGCGTCCTGGGTGGCGGCCGAGCCGCACTGGGGCAGGTGTCCAGGCAGCAAAGGGCAGCCCGGCCGCAGGCTGTGTCACTGCACAGCGGCGTCCGGGTGGCTCTGGTATCGCTGCCTCCAAACCTCCTGGATCTTTCTGCACCACTTGTGAGCATTCCCGCTTGGATCCATCAGGTAGTATGTCCTGTTAGGCTGTAAAAATAAGAGTATCTACAGTTCTCCTGGGAGTCCCAGCCACTGGCACCATGCCTACCCATCCTGCTGCTATCACTGCCAGCCCCAGAAGTCTGCAAGCACAGTGGTCTTTCTTCATTCCACACGTGCAGGAGCTAAACAGTGGACAAGGGACCCAGCCGAAACTAAAAAAACAAGCACAGGCTATCTTCCCAGCCCAACTCAGAGCCATTAACATGGGGCCTCTGGACAGTAGAAATTGCCCTGGTCACAGCTGCCCCTTAGCCAAAGCAAGACACGTTTTCAACAGATGCACCAACATCTCCCATGACACTGCCAACAAGAGTCCATAGAGATAGACTCACCGTGTGGACAAAGAAAGTTTTAAAATTCTTGGCTTCTGGTCGGAGTTCTTGTGACCATGGAATTTCACCTTTCAGGACCTTGTTGACAGGATCAACATAATATAAATGTGGCCCTTCTGTGAGCAACAACTGTCGTCTTCGTGCAAACAAACCCTGGTATTAAAAAAAAAACAAGACTCTTATTATTACAGCTCAGGAGTGCTGACCACAGTGGTCACCACTGCCTCAGAGGAACTGGCCTGCAAAGTGCACAGGTACATTGCCAGCCCCTTACCCACTCACCTGTGACACCCACACCTGCCTAGGCCCAACTTCTAGGTTCAGAGATACATAAGCATAGGGCCCTGCTGCTGACAGCCAGTCCACCGTCCCTGGGCACTCAGTTCCTCCAAGGCACAGAGCACTGTGCTCCACAAACCAGGCCACAGCCTGCTGGTGTGGACACACTTCATTCATGGAGGCTGCACATCCAGGAAGGGCGATGAGAAGCCCATGCTCAGCAGGAGCCCATGATAGCACAATGTCTGGTTATTTTCTAACACCATCTGTTTAATCCATAAACCATAATGTACAAGAACACTTAAGTGTCTTGTCTGTTTTTACAGTACTAGGAATCTAATCCAGGCATACTCTACCACTGAGCTATACTCTCAGCCTTTTATATTTTTTATTTTGAGACTGTCTTGCGAAATTCCCCAGGCTGGGGTCAAACATGTGATCCTCCTGCCTCAGTCTCCTGAGTAGCTGGGGTTACAGGTGTGTGCCACTGCACCTGGCCCTTCTAATGAAATATCTGACTATGCTGGGGTATCAGATATAGCTTCAACATGGCAGTAGCCTTGAAACAGTGAGCCTGGCCTCATGCAGCAACAGGAAGCCAGGTTCCAGAGCAAGAACACGAGGCTGGCTTTTCCACCTGTCTCCTGCTGCCCCCCAGTGGGGTTCCGACTGCTTTCCTGAGGACCTAGGTCTTCCTGGGCCACAAAACGTGGAAATAATCTCTGAAGAGTATGTCAGGACAAAAGTGCTACATCCAACACACTGTAGCAGGAGAAAGGCAGGAGAGCTGGCCAAGTTAGAGATGGGAGGAAGAAAGAGACTGATGAGGATGAACAGCAGCAAGGATCCAACTCACCTTTCGCTTATCCACTGGACCCATTTTTAGTATTAAATTATTTTCTACAAACTGGTGCCTATAAAAAAAAAAAAGAAAAGAAGAATGAGACATTCATAGAAATTCTCTACTTTCCTCCTTCCTCACAAATTCCTCAGGGCCTCTGTGGACTCAGCATGAATCAAACTCCCCTCAGGGTCAGGAGATAAGTCCAAATGCAGGGTATGGAACATTCCTTCAGTATCTGGATCAGAATCTGCATCCCCTTTGGTCATCTCTCAGACTGGGGCACTTACACAGCAGAGGAAAGGTGGTGAACAGAAGTGCCACAGTACCAAGAGGTAACACACATGTCACCGTCACCTCAAAAAAACTGTGATAAATGCATGAAGCCCTGGGTTCAGTGATGAGGCTTAGTACCCCCACATACACCATAAATGAAACAAAACTGTGCTGAGAGGTGATGAATCCCCTGGAAAGGCACATGCTGTTGGGAGTAAACTTCAGGGTAAGATTGTCTTCTTCAAGTTACTTTCCAAGCCAGGACCCCTGGTTCGGTGCCCAAAATCTAGAGCACTTTAAAGACATAAATTCCTGAAAGACTTAAGTTGGACTTAGCTCAAGAATATCTTTTTTGCTGGGTGCTGTGGCACATACCTCTAATCCCAGCTACTCACAGAAGGTTAAAGCAGGCAGATTACAATTTCAGGGTCTGGCTGGGCAACTTAGCATAACCCCGTCTCAAAATAAAAATATAAAAAGATGCCAGGCATGGTGGGGCATGCCTATAATCTCAGCACTCAGAAGGCTGAAGCAGGAAGACTGCTGCGAATTCAAGGCCAATCTCAACTGCACAGTAAGCCACTGTCTATACACACACACAGTCTGCCCCTCAAAATATATACACTTCAGGAAAAAAAAATATTTTTCAATGGCTGGTGTTATCCTCATATGGTGGACCCAAGAGTATGTCATTACTGCAGAAGATCCAGTACCCTGTTTGTTTGTTTGTTGAGACTGGATCTCTGTATGTAGCTCAGACATCACTTAAACTCATGATCCTCCTGCCTCAGCCTCTTGAGTGCTGGGATTATAGGCATACAACACTACACCTGGTATAACAAAACATTTTTATTCAAACACAACAAGAATCTGGAAGACAAAGTTTCAAATACATGCTTTAATTTAATACATAATAGCAGTATATATATATATACATACACATATATATGTATATACACAGTGTATATATATGTATGTGCATATGTATGTATATATATGTATGTATATACATACATATGTATATACGCAGTGTGTATACACACACACACACACACACACGTATATATCACTTCACCTCCTAAAAGCTTAAGAGTCTGTCCTAATGTCTACAGGTTATCTCATTTGGTTAAATTTAACAACTACTGGTTTATATTGTTAATGACACTGGGAATTCAACCCAGGGCTTCCTCACTAAGCTACATTCCTCAGTCTTCTCCTTGCCCTTAATTTTTCATTTTGAAACAGGGTCCTGTTAAAATACTGAACTGCTCCCGCTGGGTTTCACTTTTCAATTCTCCTACCTTAACCTCCTGAGTGCTGGGACCATAGGCATGCGTCACTATGCCCGGTCTTTTTTTGTTTGTTTGTTTGTTTTTGGTGCTATGGATTAAACCCAGGGCCTTCTATATGTCAAGCAAGTGCTCTATTACACTGAAATTCCTCATCTGAGGTTCTACTATAGAAATGCTGTACTTTTATTTGAAAAGAGCTTAGGACAACCATAAAAATATACCTGGACACCTCCACAAATGGCTCAGAGCACTTTTAAGAAGGGCTAAACTGATGGAACCAGGTTCTCTCACCAAGCTCCATTGGCCCCACAGACTAACCAAGCCTAACTTACCCTGACCTGACCAGTCCAACAGCTAAGACCAGTGGGGCTTGTCAGGGAGGCTGCTCCACCAAGGGCCTACCTTCAAGGCATAAACCAATGTAATGCATGTGGGCTTTAAAAACAACTGAGATTCTGAACAAGAACAGGGCTTTGACCTTTATGAGGGAAACTGTAATATGCCTACTTGCATAAGTATTTTATCAGCAGGGGGTGGTGGTGCACACCTGTAATCCCAGCACTAGGGAGGTTGAAGCAGGAGGATTGCTTGCGAGTTCAAGGCCAGTCTGGGCTATGAAATGAGTTTAAGGCCAACCTGAACTGCAGTGCTAGACCCTGTTTCTAAAAAAAAAAAAAAAAAAAGCATTTATCAACCAAGTAACACACACAGGACTTGAAACAGAAGAACTAGGTATTTCTAAAAAGGAGATGTAGTAAGGAGAACCTACTATAGTGTAGAAAGAACAAAGCACAGAGATGTGTGTAATGTCAGTGAGATTCACAGCCCACCTAACAAGCAGGCCCCATGGCATTTCAACATCAAGAATCACAGGTGAGTAACAGGAAGATTTATTAACTAAACTATTGGGGGAACAGTAAACATGAGAGACAAAGTATAGTAGCCATGCCTCTGGCACCCTGAGCAGGGAAGCCTGACAAATAGGTAAAGAGAAGGAGGCCTCACAGTGCCATTGCATCCTCTTGCAACACCAAAGAGGAAGTTTAAAATCTTAAAGGCCAGGCACGGTGGCACACACCTATAATCCTAGCATTCGGAGGCTGAGGCAGAAGGATCACTGCAAGTTCAAGACCAGCCTGGGCTACAAAGTGAGCTCAAGGCCAGCCTGAACTGCATAGCGAGACCCTGTCACAAAGACAAAAAACACACACAAAAAAAACCCACCTTAAACCACACAAGAGAAGCACAAGATAAAGATATGGGGAATTCCTCAAGCAATGTGATGGAGGCCATCTTCCAGAATGAAATCAAAAGGAGTCACTAAACACTGAGTAACAGTCAGGACATGAGAACAAGTCTAATCACAAAATAACAGGGTTTGCAGGCCAAGGGGCTAGGGAACATTTCTAGCAAATGCCCCTATGAAGCCAGGGCCTATACTCTATGGGGCCAACATCAAGCCCTCAGCACAAAAGTGAACAGAATACCCAACTGGAAATGTCCAACAGGAACTGAACAACACAAAAATACTCTGAATGGCCCCAAACAAGAAAAGAAACCATTCCCTGGGTGCCACAGTGTCCTCAGCATCATCAGCCATGAAAGAGGGCTTGCTGCAAAAGCAGTGTGGAAGGTATGCAGAGAAGGGCACCACCCTTCAGTGCAAAGGGAGAAAAGGAGGGGGACAGAACAATCACAGCAGTGCCCCTTGGAAAGAAAAGTAAAGCCCCTAGTTGGTTCAGAGACAATAAGAGGAACAGCAAGCTCTTTCCTTGCCCCTACAGTAGAGTCTCAGCCCTTGCAGTTTGCTCACTCTCATGCACACACACATGCACTTACAACTCCTGACTCTCTCAGCTCTTCCCAGGGGTGAGAACAATCACCTAGTTGCATCCTGGAAGGCAGAGGACACAGGGATGGACAGAGGCCAACTGAGTCTAACTACAGTCCACCCAATCAATCAACTAGTTTACAACAGGATACTGTATATTTACATACATGGAGAAGTTATTTGAAGTATTTCAAGGAATCACTTTGACTATTTACTTCAGAGTCAGTTCCGACTCATGAAGAATCCCACCCCCAACTTTACCTCACAGTCTTTCTCCCTGGCAAGTTGTAGCTGTCATCTAAATACTCAGCCAGCCACACAATCTTTGAAGAGACCCACATGGAAAACACAGTGAGAGGCCTATCTCAAAAAAAACAAAGCCAAAACCAAACCTGAATCAGAGACAGACCTTTTTAATTTTTTTTTTTTTTTTTTTGCAATGCCAAGGATTGAACCCAGGGCTTCATACGTGCTATATCCCCAGCCCTTTCTCTTCTGAGTCTCAAAGATGTCCAGAATGGCCTTAAATTTGTGATCCTCCTGTCTCTGCCTCACAAGTAGCTAGAACTCCAGGCAGGCACCACAATTCCTGGCAGAAACACACCTAACTGTTCAGGGTAAAGACAGTCTCACTTTCTCACACAGCATTTGGCTCCCTCAAATCAGGACATCTCACCAGCAACATCTCTCATCATGATCAAACAGGGATGTAGCGGCTGAGGGCCCATGACTTAGGCTCCTCACAAAGGATGACATACAAAATGTTACTTCTGTCAGATTCCAATGCAGGGTTTTCTTCTCCTATCCTACTGTATCCTACACAGATCGCAAGAGGACCATCTTCAAGGACACAAGACAGAAACCCTCAGCACAACTTGGCTGTCTCAGGGAGACCATAATAAGACTCTGTCTCCAGACATCTTTAAAACAAAACAAAAAACTATTTTCCAAGACAGAAATAATGAGAAGACTGGTGCCATTACACATTTTACAAATTTCATGTGCAGCCTGGAGGACAGGGTTGTACTCTTAGATCAGCTTGGGCCGCACCCTGCTGTTGATCTGTCATTTAGGCTAAAGTATACAAAAAACCCAGCTTTACTCACGTGAACCACTGGAAAAGGAGGCTTATTTTAACAACCTTTTTAGATAAATTTGGAAACTATTGCTTGATATTATACCAAAATTCAAAAAATGGTAAATGTTTTATAATTTTGTAATACTAGGGATTGAACTCAGAGCCTTCACATAGAGCTACATAACCAGCTTGTCATTACTTTTTATAAATTCTTTGTTTTGGGTGGATAGGGTCTCACTAAACTATTAAACTGCCTAGGCTGGGCTTGAACTTGTGATTCTCCTGCTTCAGCCTTCTACACTGCTGGGATGGCTTGTTCCCACCATCCCCAGCAACAGGCAACATTTTCTTTTTTTTAAAGTTTTTAAAAGCAGATGTATTGTGGTTTAATTTAGATCATTAAATTTACTCATTTCAAGAGTATAAGTCAATGACTTCTCATCAAATTTACAGCTGTACAACCATTCCTATAATCTAATGTTAGAACATTTCCATCAATCAGAAAAGAAACCTCATTCCCATTTGTAATCAGTGCTGTTCCCACATTCAGTCCCAGGCAACCATGAATCTACTTTCTGTCTCCATACGTTTGCCTT